GTTTCTGAGCAGCGTTCCCCACCCCCACCCCCAAAGTAAACGATCCCGGGGTGAAAGTCAAGACAGATAGTGCTTGGGCCGGTGATTCTGACAGCAACTCTGACAATGGATCCAGTCGAACTTGCCCGGTAAGGTGAGGAGATCACCTGTGAGCGAGCCTATCAACCCTGTGATGGGGAGAGGAAGACATTCCTTTCTCATCACTCCAGGATCAGGCAACATGACTGGTTTGACAGTGTAACGGGCCACTAACCAAAGAGGTTAGTAAGGTGAGATGCAGAAATGAAATCCCACATGAAAAGACAGATTGTACCCAGCGGCACGTGTGTCTGTGTGAAGGCTGAAAGATCAGGAACCTCTCTTCGTTATTAATGTCAACCCGATAAAAGCTAAACTAAATCGGTGCATGTTTAAGTGCACCACTATTTAATTGCTAAAAGTGTTTCAAGCACTTGGTAAGAATTTCAGAGTCCACACTACTCCAAAAAAGAATATTACCACATGTCTCACCTGCCTGAGCTGAGTTATATTAAGCACCCTTTGTAATGATATCCGTTTGGGTTGGGGAGCTGGAGGGATGGTGTGAGCAGGAGGTGCCAAAAAAGAAAAAATATATATTGATATTATAAAGGTGTTTTCTTCCTCAAGTTTTCCAAAATTTTACATTCTCTTTGTTCTTGGATTAGTGTGAGCTCCAGAGTGGCTGGCTGTGGAGAAGTTGTTCCAGAGACTAATAAGTTCAAGGTCTCATTAAGTCGATACCCAATGACCAGGTGAAATGGTGCTTTGCAGATAAAAAGTTCCTGAGGCTTCCTTTTCTGGTCCATCTTCCAAATCTCATGTTGCCTATAAGAAACCTGACAAAACAAAGAATTAAACAAACTCAGAGATTCATTAATGGAAAAAAATGGGGCAAGTGTTGAAATAAAATCACTTTTCTATTTAAAAAAAAGAAACTTGGGGAAAAAAGGGAATTCCTGGGAGTTGTTAGACATGAGCAGAGCAAGATGATGGTCTAGGTACAAAGTCTCACCAGGCCTATGGATGAGGACAGTGGATGGGGAGTGAGGGAGGAGGGTGGGGTGGGAACTGGGTGGAGGGGAGTTCTGGGGGGAAAAAAAGAGGAACAAATGTAATAATCTGAACAATAAAGATTTAATTAATAAAAAAAAATAAGAAAGAAACTCACCAGGGCAGGAAACCCCGGATGCCTAGCAAGGGGCAAAGCTGGGAAAACAAGAACTTCCCCCGAGGGTAACCCATCCTCTCCTCGCATGTCACTGGTCATGCGGTTTGGACCTCTGATCTTTCATCACTGGTCAAGTGGTATGGACCCCCTGACCTTTTCCTCCCTAGAGGTAACATCTAGGCCTCAGTTGTATTTCAGCTCCAGGCCCAGAAAAGCAGCAAAACCAGACAAGTGGCACCATGGCTGCCTCAGGACCAGCTGCATTGACTAAAGACCCTCTACCCTGCACGGACCAATCGCCTGAAAGAGGGGAGACCGCCACCCTGAAAGAGCACACCTGAAAAGCTGCTGAATATTCTATGAAGACCCTCCCCTGAGGCCTCCCCTAAGATTCCCACCTGCAAAACAGAGATAAATGTGCGCAGGACAAAAGCCCCAGTGCACGCTCTCCTCGCAAGGAGCAGGCCCATGCCACTCCCTTCCTCCTCTCTCTCTCCCACATGCATGTGTCCCCCATCTTCTAAAGGACCCCAGGAGACTTGCAACCAGGGGAGCAATGGGCAGTGGCAGCTCATCCTGGGCTCACCCCCTGCACCTGCCTCCAAGGCCCCCTTTTCTCTGGCTTCCCAGAGAGCCAAGGCAGCCCAGCCAGGCTCTCCTGTTGCTGCTTCTGCGCCCTTCCTTGTGTCACTGTCCTGAGTATATTTATGCTGCCATCACCGATCCAATGCCCCCTGGGTTCAGGGCTGGGCAGCTCTTCGCTTTGGATATCCCCACCCTCTTTTCCGTAAATAAATTCCATTTTCTGTAATCACCGTCTGAGATGGCTATTTAGCCTGCCCACTCATCACTGACTTGAGCCTTTCATTGCTGCGTTTCCCGAGCTTAAGAGAAGCCACTGCAATGTAAAGGTGATAAGATACTAAAACATCCTGATAAAGATATAAAACTCAGCCAATTAACCAGGTATTCTGGCTTCAGGAGGGCATAAAATATTGGTAAATTAAGGGGGGGGGGGTAGCGGACAGAGTTTTTTTCCTATTTAATGAGGAGATTGGGACAGTAGGTGTTGATGATGCCTGTACTGCCAAAAAATGTCACAAGCCCTTTTGTATTTCTAATGTATCAGCAAATCAGGTGTCAGTGAGGCCAGGAGCCGATAAGAACAAACAACACAAGATAACAACTTGCTATAAAGGGTTTGAGATGGATGTTCTGAGCCATCTGGTTATCACAGTCGCGTGTGTGGCCACTGCTGTCCACCGCGCCAACATGCAAATGAGCAGATTTCCACACGTGGGCCTCAGTAATCCACAGAATTTCAACACAGCCAAGAACAAGAATGAAAACCTCGACAACGAAACTAGCCATTCTGTTTGGGCGAGGCTTCGGCACCCAGCGTCTCCTGGGGGAGTTCAGAAACCTTGCCCACCACCCCTGGAAGCATCCCGAGGGATCACTGAGTGCTTATAGACTTTCAGGGCCAGTATACACTTTGCATCCTTTGCGGAATAAAAATTTAACTAGCATTCCAAATAAAAACCTCTCTCCGACTTATTGAGGTTTCTGAGAAGTAACACTGCATTTGTTAACTATGGCAACAATATAGAATAACCAACGTTTTTGAATTGGTTTGATCTTGGATATAACGAAATCAAAACCACAAAAAAAAAAGAAGTGCTTAAAAACAAAGGAAGGAACCCTGTGGTTTTCTGGATTGAGACCAGGAACAACTCCCTTTGGCCTCTCCCACTCACCTTCCCTTCCTTGCCAACTGAGGTTCACTAGTGCCACCCAGTGGACTCCTGGAGCACTGCCTCACCGCCCGAGAAGGCCCAGCAGGCTCAGTGCTACCAGTAGTCTCAAGTACCATAATGACATTCTTATCTATTCTTTACAGAGCCTTACTACCTGCCTGAAGCTTTCAATATGTTTTTTATTGATTTCAGAGAGAAAGGGAGAGGGAGAGAGAGAGAGAAACACCAATGATGAGAAAGAATCATTGATCGGCTGCCTCCTGCCTGCCCCCCACTAGGGATTGAGCCCAAAACCTCCATGTGGCCTGACAGGGAATCGAACTGTGACCTAGTGGTTCCTAGGTCGACACTCAACCACTGAGCCACACGGCCAGCTGCCTGAAGCTTTACATGCATGCAGGACCTCTTTTTGCCCTCACAACAGACCAGGACTTAGAAGTTTTTGCATCCATCTGACAGATGGGGACAAAGAGGCTTAAAGTTAGGCCACGAATTTGTGCTCTCCAGTTTGCAGCCAGTATGGCAAAGGGTGCGCTGAGGAGCTGGTGCGACTTCAGGGAGAGCATGTGCAGGAACTGAAACAGCAGAAGGCCGGCTCTGAGCAGATCGAGGAGGAGTTGGCAAAACTACTGAAAATGAAGGCACAGCCGCACAGCGGGGGGCCTGAGGAAGGGAAGCACAAGTTTGTGCTCAAAATCCCCAACGGCGCAAGAGACTACAATCCCCGACAGATGGCAGTTCGGGAGAAGGTGTTTGATATAATCATCAGCTGCTTCAAGCGCCAAGGTGCACAAGTAATTGCTACACCTGTGTTTGAACTAAAGAAAACACTGACTGCAAAGTATGGGGAAGACTCTAAAGCAGTGGTTCTCAACCTTGGCTGCACATTAGAATCACCTGGGAATCTTTTAAAATCCTGATTTCTGGGCCTCGTCCTCCGGAAATTCTGTTTCTTTGTTACTAATGTTGTGGCCCCCACCCCATAACAAAGAAACAGAATTTCCGGAGGATGAGGCCCAGACATCAGGAGTTTAAAAAGATTCCCAGGTGATTCTAATGTGCAGCCAAGGTGGAGAACCACTGCTCTAAAGCTTATTCACGACCTGAAGGGCCAGGGTGGGGAGTGGCTGTCCCTTCGCTATGAGCTCACTGTTCCTTTTGCTCAATAATTGGCAATGAATAAACTGACCAACAATAAGCGCTACCACACAGCACAAGTAAATTGGCGGGATAACCCAGCCATGGCCCGGGGCCAAGATCGGGAATTCTACCGGTGTGACTTTGACATTGCTGGGCTATGTGGCCCCAGGACCCCTGATGCAGAGTGCCTGAAGATCATGTGTCAGATCCTGAATTCAGACAGGTGACTTCCTGGTCAAGGTGAACCATGGGCGCATCCCAGATGGGATGCCTGCGATCTGTGGGGTTCCTGGCAGCCCGTTCTGCACCATCTGCTCGTCAGTGGACAAACTGGACAAGGTGTCCTGGGAGGAAGTAAAGAATGAGATGGTGGGAAAGAAGGGCTTCGCACCCAGGTGGCTGACCGCACTGGGGACTATGGCCAGCCGCTCGGTCGGGTATCCCTGTTGGAACAGCTGCTCCAGGGTCCTCAACTTCCTCAAAACAAGCAGGCCTTGGAGGGCCTGGGAGACCTGAAGCTGCTGTTTAAGTGCCTGACCCTGTTTGGCATTGCTGACAAGATCTCCTTCAACCTGAGCCTTGCCCGAGGGCTGGACTCCTATACTGGGGTGGTCTATGAGGTGGCGCTGCTACAGACTGCAGCCCAGGCAGGGGACGAGCCCCTGGTGTGGGCAGTGTGGCTGCTGGAGGGCGCTCTGATGGGCCTGTTTGACCCCAGAGAGTGCAGGGTGCCATGTGTGGGGCTCAGCATTGGTGTGGAGCGGGTCTTCCCCAGTGTGAAGCAGAGGCTAGAGGTGTTGAAGGAGAAGGAATGGACCACAGAGACACAGGTGCTGTAGCATCCGCACAGACGTTGCTGGAGGAGGGACTGAAGCTCGTCTCAGAGCTGTGGGATGCGGGATCAAGGCTGAGCTGCTTTACAAGAAAAACCCAAAGTTACTGAAGCAGCTGCGGTACTGTGAGGAGGCAGGCATCCCATCATCAGTGAGCAGGAGCTCGGGATGGGGTCTTCAAGCTCTGTTCCATGGCCAGCAGAGAAGAGGTGAATGTCCGAAGAGAAGACCTTGTGAAGGAAATCAGAAAGAGAACGAGCCAGCCCCTTTGCACCTGCTGAGCTGAGCAAACTATGAGAGGAAAGTGGGCGGCACCACTGAAAGCTAAGACAAAGCTCTGCCCATGTCCTTCAACCTCTTCGCAACTTCCAGTGGAAAACCTGAAGAGCAGTCAGAACCGAGACTTTGTGATGGTTTTATCGATAGTCACAGGGAATTTTACCGTGCCATTTTCCACAGGAAGGCCCAGGGGCTCAGTCTGGCTCCTAAGCTACAGGGACCGGGCCTGAGATGGCCGCCTCTTCAGGGTGCTACACCAGCAGGGACCGCTCCCCACAACCAGTCACCAAAGGTGCAATAACATATCTCAACCACCAAAAAAAAAAAAAAGCCCTAGCCAGCTTGGCTCCGTAGATAGAGCGTCGGCCTGCAGACTGAAGGGTCCCCAGTTCGATTCCGGTCAAAGGCACATGCCCCGGTTATGGGCTCAATCCCCAGTAGGATGCAGGAGGCAGCCGATTAATGATTCTCTCTCATCACTGATGTTCCTATCTCTCTCTCCCTCTCCCTTCCTCTCTGAAATAAAAAATATATATATTTTTAAAAAAAGAAGAATTTGCTTAGTCACAAAGCTAGCCAGCACCTGAGCTGGGACTGAACCCCTCCCTCTGACTGCGTGCACATAACATCATTACTTAGGCTATCACAGGCCACCAGCTCACTGCGGCATTTGCGTAGTAATCTGAACCCAAGCTTACAATAAACAAGCCTCACATTTTACAGTGGAAATTTGCTATCCACAAAGACACAGCTTGACTCCAAGCCAATGACTTCAGACCATTTCCTGCTCACCTTCCAGCACATCCTGGACTTCAGCTGAGACGTTTTTCAAGCAGTTATATAAATTCTGGACTGTGGCGTTGCTTAGCTCCTTGTCTTGCCACTTCTTCAGCATCCGAAACTTACAAATTGCCACATTTTCTTCCTTCTTCTGGATATCATCAATATCGCTCCTGTCCAACTCCAGGTTGAAAATGCCAATACTTATCCAATCTTTCCCCAACTTCCCAGCAAGGGTAATCAACTGATCGTCTGTTAACAGGGTCTTGGCTCCATCTAAAAGCAGATGAGGAATTCAGTAGTTCCTCTCAACACTTAATCATTGATAACTACTTACAATGAAAATGCATTCTCCTCCTATTAGAAAAGACACTAGTCCAAGCCACTTTGGCTCAGTGGATAGAGATTTGGACTGCGGACTGAAGGGTCCCAGGTTCGATTCCAGTCAGGGGAGCGTACCTCTGTTGCAGGCTCCTCCCTGGCCCAGGCCCTGGTCAGGGCGTGTGCAGGAGGCAACCAATCGATGTGTTTCTCTCACATTGATATATCTCCCAGTCTTTCCCTCTCTCTAAAAATCAATGGAAAAATATCCTCGGGTGAGGATTAAAAAAAAAAGGAGACTACATTTGTAGTAATTGTAACTGCTTGTAAAATATATTTAAATGCCAAAAAATCCTTGCTATCCAAAATATCTTAAGAAGTAAAGGGAACTCTCTTATATAATAACATTAAACTGGGGTATAATGTTCATAATTACAAATGTGACTTTTCATAAAACAGCACAAATCAGGTTGGAATAAAAAAATTCAGATAGCAAAAAGAACTTATGTGGCTCAAAAAGAAAAATATACAGCTTTGCCCTTGCCCACCTTTGTATCTCATATAAATGCTCGCAAGATGTCTGCATTGAAGTCTCTATTTCGCCATCTCCTGGCACTAGGGGAATAGCACGTTCCATAGGAAAGTCATGGAATGGTATTTGTAATAGCTATTGATCTCCAAGAAGCAGTGTTATAATCTTGGAAAGGCATATATTTGCCAATGCAAACCACTGGCCCCATAAAAAATATTAGCACTATCATTAAACTAGATTTGCAACGATCACTTTGTGCTATGATGCAGCCAAGCTCACAGGTTGTGGAGTTCCGGGTAAGGATCCTCAAGGCATGACAAATACTGGAGGATATGAGAAGAGAGTGAGAGGTAAGAAGAATTCCTGCCCCTCCTCCAGGACTGCAACACCTCTGCTCTAAAGACAACAATTTATTCCTGTGGATCTAACATTTGTTCTTGAACCCTTTTCCACTTGGGCTTCCTCTCTCTAACTTTCTAGACCAGCGGTTCTCAACCTGTGGGTTGAGACCCCTTTGGGGGTCGAACGACCCTTTCACAGGGGTCGCCTAAGACCATCGGAAAACACATGTATAATTACATATTGTTTTTGTGATTAATCACTATGCTTTAATTATGTTTAATTTGTAACAATGAAAATCCATCCTGCATATCAGATATTTATATGACGATTCATAACAGTAGCAGAATTACAGTTATGAAGTAGCAACGAAATTAATTTTATGGTTGGGGGTCACCACAACATGAGGAACTGTATTAAAGGGTCGCGGCATGAGGAAGGTTGAGAACCACTGTTCTAGTCTGAAGAATGGGTTCTTAAAGAAGGCCTTCGCCCTCTGGTGGTTTCCTGACACCTGGTTGACCGCTCCTAGCTCTCAAGACTCCTGTTGATGAAAACGACTGCAAGTGAACCTATTTAGATGAAAGTTCTCAAGACCATCCCAAAACTCACTGTATCAGACTCTGAGCCTAAATTTTAACAAGATCTCAAAATAATTCTGTTCGGGCTGAGGGCTGATCATATTTTTAAAAGCAACACAGTGATATACTGAGTTTGAAACTACCAAGCTAGTGACTGGACATCTCAAAGAATATTATTGAGGGAATACCTAAACAAACAAACAAAAAAATCTTTATTTATTTAGATCCTACACTGTCAACTCCAAAACAGTTGGAAATCCTTAATCTTTCTGGGTGAATCTGATTGTTTTGATTCTATTTCTAGCTACTTGTCATTGGAATTCATTTTATTTTATTTATTTATTAATATTTTTAAATATATTTTTTATTGATTTCAGAGAGAAAGGAAGAGGGAGATAGAAACATCGATGATGAGAGAAAATCACTGATCTGCTGCCTCCTGCACAACCCCTACTGGGGACCAAGCCCATAACCTGGGCAAGGTTCATCTACACTCAACCACTGAGCCACGACACCTGGGCTCATGATAAATAGCCAAATAATTGCATGAAACAGAAAAACTTGCCCAGCCGGCGTGGCTCAGTGGTCGAGTGTCGACCGATAAACCAAGAGCATACCAGTTTGATTCCTGGTCAGGGCACATGCCTGGGTTGTGGGCTCGATTCCCCGTAGGGGGCGTGCAGTAGGCAATCCACTGATGTTTGTCTCTCATCGATGTTTCTCTCTCTCTCTATCCCTCTCTCTTCCTCTCTCTCTACAATCAATAAAAACATATTTTTTAAAGAAGAAAAACTTGTTCTATGAATCAATCAAATAAAAACTATGTCCCACTCAGTTATGAGTAATTTCTGAGGATCTAATGTACAGCATGGTGACTATAGCTAATAATACCGTACCGTATTATATACTTAAAATTTGCTGAGAGTAAATCCTTTGGTGAAAGGGTTAATTTGGAGACCTGTGTGAGGTCCCTAAATGCTTGAGATCTTGTCTCATATAATTTGGGTCTGGGCTTTTAAACTTAGATTTGTGAATTCTTGTTGGACTTGCATTTTTGAACTACGAATTCTATCTTCTGGCTCCTTAGAGTATTGTTAAATGTTTTAAATCTCCACTGTATTTTCACAACTTTTGAGCCTTGGTCTCTGCCATTTAATTGAAAGAAACTAAGTTGAGACCTGCCTCTATTGACTGAACTGGAGGTACTTCACCCCTAAATAGCTAAAAACTGTGAAGCCAACGGATGTACACATGGACATTCACAATTCCATTCACTCAAACTATGCTCACTGTCTCCTACACGATCCTTAGAGTATTGTTAAATGTTTTAAATCTCCACTGTATTTTCACAACTTTTGAGCCTTGGTCTCTGCCATTTAATTGAAAGAAACTAAGTTGAGACCTGCCTCTATTGACTGAACTGGAGGTACTTCACCCCTAAATAGCTAAAAACTGTGAAGCCAATGGATGTACACATGGACATTCACAATTCCATCCACTCAAACTATGCTCACTGTCTCCTACGCAGTGAAGGAGGCTCCATGCGCAGTGCTATGAAATGTAAAGATGGGTAGGTACGGCCCTACCTTTAAGGACTGCAAGGAACCCCCATACCTCACAGTTCTGCTGAGTGAACGGGAGAAGTGGGGAATCAAATGGGAAAATAGGCCGGGGCAGGCCATGGAGGACCCTTATCCAGGCCCGAGGCGCTGGGACACAGGCGCCCACAACCGGATGTGGCGCTAGGAGCACCGACCCAAGAGCATGTGTGATGGATGCGCATCGATGGGAGAGCCCAGGGAAATAACTGATGGCCACGGAGGACAGTGTTACAAACCTGAAGTGTCAACCTGCTTCATTCTTTTAGCACTGACCTCCTCTTCAGGTAGAGTGTTACTTACTTTACGTCGCCTTTTACCTTAAAAAAAAAAATCAACAAGTTTGCTTTCCATTATGTTTATTACCTTCAATCTGGATTTTTTTTTTAAAAGCATCATCATTCAGGTAGAAACCAATTGAAAATGGATTCCAAGATTCTTCAGATGATTAACAGTCACAGAGAACTTAACAGATCCATAATGCAATCACCTCGGCACAGCAAAGCACAGATCCTAGCGGAGGGGAGGAACCCAAGACTGGGCACAACTCACTTAGTGTCCAGTTACCAGCACTTACCACTTGTGCTGCTTTTTGAAACGTTCTTACTCTGATCATGTTGAACCCAGTCACCTGTTAAAGCACGAAAGCATCACTTAGAAAAACTGGTATGAAATCAGAATTCAAGAAATCAACTTGTGAAAGTGTATGGAGCTCTAGGGTCTTGGCAACCTCTCTGAAGTTCGCATATGAGTTTGGGGTTTCACTTGGTATGTGCACAAATGCGCTGGGCTTGAATTTTGGAGATAAATAATGAGCAGGAGAGGATGTTAAAGGGGAGGGGGGCGCTGTCAGAAGGCTTCCCAGCCCCAAGAATTTCAACAGGGGGACATAGGGGCTGTGGGGTCCCCCTGCAGAGCTGTAATCGCACAGAACGGGAGCTATCCCTTGAAGACCAAAGAGGCAGAGACAGCCAATGAGACACACAGTCAGTCAAAATGCAGAGCTTACATCCAGGTCTTGTCACAACACCCGTAAAATACCTGAGGTCCAAACCTCAAGAAAACAACAACTCCACTGGCCAACTCCCCCCCACTCTCTGAAGTCTCCGCAGACGCGCTGAGCCACCCACTGACCCCCAGGATCTGGACGTGGGTGCCTGAGAACCAGGGCCGCACTTCTGTCCAGAAGCGGCGCCTTTCCCTGCATCGGATCTTTAAATGTTATGCTGACAGGGCAGACAATTACTCTATTTGCTTTCCCACCCCCATCACCCACAAACCAGTTTTCCTTTAGGATATAAAACACTTACATTCTCTCAGTTTCGCTTTCCATACAATCTCGTCGGAATCCATTTCAACCAACAGTAATTTAAACTCCATTGGCTGCTCCAAATAAACTTCAATATAACTTTTCAGTTTTAAAAGGGAACCATCCACAAATTCAATTTCCTTTAAAAAAAAAGTGACTTTTTTAATAGAAAAGTTGTATTCACTCACTGATGACATCATTAGCAAATGATGACAATTATTAGATACGTTAATGCTTACTTGAATGCTCACCGACACCTTGGCCCTGGAAATCCCATTCCTGAATCACACACCCTCTTATTCTCTTGCTTCTCGGCCCCCCTTACTCCAACTTCCTTTTCTGTTTCATTTTCCTAAAGCTTAACTTCTCAGCCCTTTCCTGATTTCTTGTTTCCTGTTCCCAAACTAGAACGTGTGCTCACCCACCAGCCGCCCTTTTGTCAGTGCGTTTGAGCTTCCTCACCCTCTTTGGCTTAGATCATGCCACACAATCTGCATGGAACAGATCCAACAACACGTACAGACTATGCTGCGTGTTTTATCCACACTCCCTCACGGAACACCTTCCCCCACCAAATCTTCTTTTTGCTATTTTATGGGTAAAGAATCTCAGAGAAGCAAATTAAACTTGCCCAACTTCACATGTAGGAAGTGGTAGAATTTAACGTGCACCCACACCTTCTGACTCCAAAGTGTGCGCTCTTAACCACTACACAGCCGCCTCCTGCCTTACACCTCCGCTGTTCCTCTCCAGGCTGCCTACCGAGCCTGGAGGGAAAAAGGCACTTTTTATAAAGTACAACCCATGCCTTGTTTTATTGCATTTCACTGATGTTACACTCTTTACAAGCTGAAGGTTTGTGGCAACCCTACTGGCACCATTTTCCCAAAAGCATTTGCTCACTTCGTGTCTCTGTGTCACATTTTGGAAATTCTCACAGTTCAGACTCCTTCATTTTTATTACATTAGAGGCCCAGTGCACAAAATTTGTGCATGGAGGGGGGCAGATCCTCCAGCCAGGCCTGCACCCTCTCCAATCAGGGACCCCTTGGGGGATGTCTGACTGCCGGCTTAGGCCTGATCCCTGTGGGACTGCTGGCTCCTAACCCCTCGCCCCCTGCCGGCCTGCCTGGTCACCCCCCAACTGTCCCCCTGCCGGCCTGACTGCCCCCAACTGCCCCCCTGCTGGCCTGGCTGCCCCCCAACTGCCTCCCTGCTAGCCTGGTCACCCCCTAACTGCCCCCCTGCTGGCTTGGTCGCCCGCTAATTGTCCGGAAGTCAGACATCTGGAATATGTCCAGTCACCCAGTGTAATTAGCATATTACCCTTTTATTAGTATAGATTTGCGATGGTGAGCTGCAATCATGATCTTTGATGTTAGTATTATAATTGTTTGGGGGCATCACGAATTTAATCGATAAGTATGTATGTGTTCTGACTACTCCAACATCTGGCCATTTCCCTACTTTCCTCCCTCTCCTCAGTCCTCCTTATTCCCTGAGACACAACCATATTGAAACTAGGCCAACTGATAACCGGACAATGGCCTCTAAATGTTCAAATGAAAGGAAGAGTCGCAAATCTCTCACTTTAAATCAAAAGCTCAAAATCTTAGTGAGGAAGGCATGTTGAAAGCCAACACAGGCTGGAAACAAGGTCTCTTGCACCAGTCAGTCATGTTGTGACTGCAAAGGAAAAGTTGTTCATGGAAATTAAAAATGCTATTCCAGTGAACACTCTAATGGTAAGAACGTGAAACAGGTTCGTTGCTGATATGGAAAACGTTCTCATGATCTGGATAGAAGACCAAACCAGCCACAACATTTTCTTCAGCCAAAGCCTAACCCAGAGCAAGACCCTACCTCTATTCTATTCTATGAAGGCCGAGAAAAGTGAGGAATTGCAGAGGTTTAAAGAAAGAAGCCATTTCCATAACATAAAAACGCAAGGTGAAGCAGCAAGTGCTGATCTAGAAGCTGCAGCAAGTTATCCAGGAAAATCTAGATACAATAATTAATGACGGTGGCCACACCAAACAACAGATTTCAATGTAGACAAAACAGCCTTCCATTGGAAGAAGATGCCATCAGGAGAGGTCAATGCCTGACTTCAAATCTTCAAAGGACAGTCGGACTCCTTTGTTGGAGGCTAATGCAGCTGGTGGCATGAAGTTGAAGCCAGTGCTCATTTACCATTCCGAAGATCCTGGAGCCTTTAAGGATTCTGCTAAATCTACCCTGCCTGTGCTCTGGAACAACAAAGCCTGGAAGACAGCACAGCTGACTACAACATGGCTTGCTGAATATTTTAGACCACTGTTGGACTTATTGCTCAGAAAAAAAAGATTCCTTTAAAAATACTGCCGCTCAAGTGCAGAATCTCAGAGGAAAGATGGGGGAGGGTGGGTGGGTGGGAGGTAATCAACCAGGGACCTTGAATGCATATATGTATAATCCATGGATGCAGACAGTGGGGTGCTGGAGGCCTGGAGCGGGAAAGGGCTGGAGTCAATGGGGGAAATAGGGGTCATATGTAATATTTTCAAAAATAAAGAATTATTAAAAAATTAATAAAAAAATAAAAATATTGCGGCTCATTGACAATGCACCTGGTCACTCAAGAGCTCTGATGGAAATGCACAATGAGATTAATATTCCCATGCCGACGAACACAACACCCATTCTGTGGCCCATGGATCAAGGAGTAATTTCAACTTTCAAGTCTTATTATTTAAGAAATGCATTTCCTGCCCAAGCCGGTTTGGCTCAACGGATACAGCTTCAGGCTGCAGATCAAAGGGTCCCAGGTTCGATTCCGGTCAAGGGCACATACCTCAGTTGCAGGCTCCTCCCTGGCCAGGCCCTGGTCAGGGCACATGTGGGAGGCAACCAATCAATGTGTCTCTCTCACATCGATGTTTCTCTCTGTCTTTCCCTCTCTCTTCCACTCTCCCTAAAAATCAATGGAAAAATACCCTCAGGTGTAGATTAACAAAAACAAAACACACACAAAGAAAATACATTTCCTTAAGGCTATAGCTGCCAGAGTGATTTCCTCTGATGGATCCAGGGAAAATAAATTGAAAACCTCCCAGAAAGAATTCATCACTCTAGATACCATTTAACAACATTCATGATTCCTGGGAAGAGGTCAAAATATCAGCATTCACGGAGTTTAGAAGAAGTTGGTTCCAACCCTCAGGGACGACTTTGAGGGTTCAAGACTGCAGTGGAGGAAGTAACTGTCTGTGTGGTGGAAACAGCAACAGAAGTGGTATTACATGTCAAGCCAGAAGATGTGACTGAATTGCTGCAATCTCATGATAAAACTTTAACAAATGACGAGTTGGATGAACAAAGAAAATGGTTCCTCGAGATGGAATCCATTCCTGGTAAAGATACTTGTGAATGCTGGTTTAAACGCTTTAAAAATAATGATTTCTATGTGAAAGACAAAGAACATCCAGGTCAACCGAAAAAGTTTGAAGACCAACAATTATAAACATTACTGGATGAAGATGCGTGTCAAACTCAAAAACAACTTGCAGAAAGATTAAACACTGTGCAGATTGTTGAAATGACAACAAAGGGTTTGGAATATTACATAAACTCACTTGATAAAGCCGTGCTAGGGTTTGAGAGGATTGATTCCAATTTTGAAAGAAGTTCTACCTATGGGTGAAATGCTATCAAACAGCATTGCATGCTACAGGGAAATCTTGTGTGAAAAGAAGAATCAATCTATGTGGCAAACTTCATTGTTGTCTTATTTTAAAAAACTAAGCCCTAGCTGGTTTGGCTCAGTGGATAGAGCACTGGCCTGTGGACTGAAGGATCCCAGGTTCGATTCCAGTCAAGGGCATATGCTTGGGTTGCGGGCTCAATCCCCAGTAGGGAACAAGCAGGAAATAGCCGATCGATGATTCTATCACTGATGTTTCTCTCTCTCTCTCTCTCTCCCTTCCTCCCTGAAATCAATAAAAATATACATTAAAAAAAAAAACTAAGACAACAGGCACCCCAACTTTCAGCAACCTCTACCATTCAGCAGCCATCAACACTAAGACAAGACCCTCCACCAGCAAAAACATTTTATCTCGCTGACAGTTAGCATTTTTTAAGTAAGAAAGTATTTTTAAATTAAGTATGTACATTATTTATTTATTTTTTATTTCAGAGAGGAAGGGAGAGGAAAAGAGAGAGAGAAACATCAATGATAAGAGAATCATTGATCGGCTGCCTCCTGCATGCCTCGCCCTGGGGATCGAGCCTACAACCCAGGCATGTGCCCTTGACCGGGAATCAAACCGTGATCCCTTGATTCATAACTTGATGCTCAACCACTGAGCCGTGCCAGCCGGGCTGTACGTTGGTTTTTTTAGACATAATACTATTGCACACTTAATACTGATTATAATATAACTTTTATATGCACTAGGAAACCAGTGCCTCACTTTATTTCCAGATTCACCTTATTGTGGTGAATCTAAAACACAACCCGCAGTATCTCGTTGCCTTTGTATCACTAAATCACCTGGGACCTTGCCATCATAAAACAGTGGCTTTAACCGGGCCCTCTCCCTTTCCATTCCAAACCACTAGCTTTATCCTCACAATCTTCAAAAGGTCACCAGGGCCCATAAAGCTAAGGTAACGCCCTCCCTTGGTCCCACTCTTCCCAAAGCCCCGTGTGTTCCCCTCCGTGGAAAGACCCCCATGCCAAGCCCTGCTGCACATCCCATCACCTCACTTAGGCACTGCGTTCCCTCCCCCAGTGATTCCCTCCCCCTCCAAACCCAAACCAAATGTCACCACGTGGTAACCTTCCTGAAAACCCACTGCACTTTGCACCCATCTCGATGGTAATATCGCATTATATGAAAATTACTTCTTTATGGAAATGCAGCATTTCTCCTTCTACGCGGGTGTCTTTGGAGGGAAAAGCTCATGACTTACTGGTTTTTTTAATTCTTAGCTCTTATCCCAGGCCTACTTGGAATAGTCACTTCTCACAAATGTCAGTTAAAGAAATCATGATTGGCCCTAGCCAGTTTGGCTCATTGAATAGAGCGTCGGCCTGGGGACTAAAGGGTCCCAGGTTTGATTCCGGTCAAGGGCATATATACCTTGGTTGCGGGCACATCCCCAGTAGGGGGTGTGCAGGAGGCAGCTGGTCAATGCTTCTCTCTCATCCATGTTTCTAACTCTCTATCCCTTTCCCTTCCTCTCTGTAAAAAAAATCAATAAACTATATTTTTTAAAAAAATAAAAAATAAAGAAATCATGAATGGTATAAAACGAGTAAGAACACCTTAAGATTTACACAGAGTTTTTCAAATTTCAGAGTGCCCCCCAAACCACTTCTACGGCCTTTTGAGCAATCCTGGGAGATTATCCCCATTTTTAAATGCCCGAAATTTGGTTAAGAGAGCACACACAGCTAGTGACAGAACCAGACTATTGAAAGTCCCCAGCCACCACCATCTTTATAAGAAAAACATTGTGGGACCACGGCGGTCTCTTTCTGGGCAGATCCATGCACTCGCTATGCATGATTCCCTCTCTGAGTGGCTGTTAACCTTGGCAGCACATCACAGTCACCGTGGGAGGGTTAACAAGCCCGAGGCCCAGGCCATCCCCAGAGCAGTAAGTCACTATCTCCGGAGGCCACAGGCTTCTTTAAAGCTCCTCGGGGATTCCATTAGGCAGCCAAGGCCAAGAATCACTGTCCTAAGCAAACCCTTCAAATCGAATTGCACCTCCCAGGCAAGGCTGCAGTCGGCTTCCTGTAATTGTCTTGAGGTACCATCTGCTAGGGCTTGATCAGAATCGGTGATACTACCGTGGCCTTAGGAGCCAAGGGCAGATGGGGCGGGGGGCCAGGCTCTCCTGCTCCCAGGCGTGCGATTTGATCACATGCCTGCTCTGCACATTAGTCTCCACAGCGGCACTGTCGTAAGGCTCAAATGACATGGGTGCAGAGACCCTTGGAAATGAAATAAGACCATCTGTGTTCGAAAGTTACGGAAAACTGATAACCTGATTGCTCCAAAGAGCACGAGGCTCCTGATAATAAAATAATGCAACACAGATCACTACGATTAGCTCTCTCTTGCTTCATATTTTAATATAATAAAATCAAAACACGTTTTCGACTTTATATACTATAAGAGAAACAAAGAGAGGTGTTCAAAAGGAATTTCTACACCGACGGCTAGGCTAGATAAGCTATGGCACACATTCAGAGCACACAATGAAAATAAGTTTTAAGAATAACTCAGTCATTTACGAGAAACTGAAATCACTTGCAAATGGCATGGTGTGTGCAGCGAAGAGCTTAAATCAAAATGGCAATATGTTCCCATAACTATTTTTCAAATGTCTTCCAGTAAGAAAAGCCCAAACTCCCTTGTTAGCAATTCCTTCCCATTAACCTTAAATGCTCTGTAACTTACAATAAAAGTTGAGTTTTTCATTCCATTGATGCTAACACTGAAGAATTTAATAAAACATTCAGGAAAATTTAAGACCTTTTAAAAAGGAAAGTGGCCGAAACCGGTTTGGCTCAGTGGATAGAGCATCGGCCTGCGGACTGAAAGGTCCCAGGTTCAATTCCGGTCAAGGGCATGTACCTGGGTTGCGAGCACATCCCCGGTAGGAGATGTGCAGGAGGCAGCTGATCGCTGTCTCTCTCTCATCGATGTTTCGAACTCTCTATCTCTCTCCCTTCCTCTCTGTTAAAAATCAATAAAATATATTTAAAAAATAAAAATTAAAAAAAAATAAAAGGGAAAGTGATCAGCTAATCTATCTTTGCAATGGTTGCAGACTAAACCTTAAATTCAAAGTATCTTTGGGCCCTAGCCGGTTTAGCTCAGTGGATAGAGCATTGGTCTACAGACCAAAGGGTCCCGGGTTCGACTCTGGTCAAGGGCACATACCTCAGTTACAGGATCTTCCCCGGCCCAGGCCCTGGTCAGGCCTTGTGCAGGAGGCAACCAATCGATGTGTTCCTCTCACATTAATATATCTCCCTGCCTTACCCTCTCTCCAAAAATCAATGGAAAAATCAGGTGAGGATTAAAAAAAAAAAAAAGGCATCTTTGGAATAGCCTACAAGATTAGCAAGACAACTGTTTTCTTATAAGTAGGAAATAAAAAATGAGGACAAAATGGATTCCTTTGCAACCTTCAAAATACTATAGCTAAGAAATATCCATCCATCCCTGCTATTACTCCAAGTTGGTGTGTAAAATATATACCTCAGGGGTGATGTCGGCTTCCGGTTCACTGACCAGTCTGTACTTCTTCCCATTCTCCAATAACTTCAGGCACACAGGAGGCTTGTCGATTTTCATGAATTTCTTAGAGGAGTGCTTGACAGCCTTGGCAATATCCTAAAGATGGAGATAGGTTTTGGCTGTGAAATGCACCAGCAACAACTTTACGAGCTATAAGAGACCTAGCCGTGCAGGCCAGGCTGCAGGTTCATTTCCTCCCCGCAAGTGCCGGCCCGAGTGACCTCCTCGGTGCTCGCAAAAGAAATGCTGAAGCTCAGACGCCCTTAGTCTGCACCGCGGGCTCCTAGATCTCCAAACATCCTTCTGTAAAAGCCCGACAGCTAAAAGCAGCACAGGCAGCCTGCGGGGCACCAGCAACTTGCTTCTGGAGAATCTGACAAACTGAGGTTAGCACCAGCATATACATGTGTGCCCGTTACATGCCCACCATGGGAATGGAAAGCAACTGTTTTAGGACTCGGTTCCAGTTTACTCAAAGCTGTTTCTACCCAGCACTTCGGTTCCAGTGGATTGTCACAACTACCGCCCCCCCCCCCGCCCCCGAGGGGACACTGATTTTGTACATATTGCTCGAATGACCCAAAGAGGTTAAAGCAACCTTTGGCCCAGGCTCCCCTGATAAAGCTGCTGTGCGGCTGACGTGAAATGTGGGTTTCCTATAGGCAAAGGTTAAGTAAGTCTTTTCCTACATAGGAAAAAAAATCCCGAGAGAATGCAAACATAAAACATCGCCAGAGAGGGCTTCCTGCCTTCGCTGTGTGTGCTCCCTATTGTTCCAGCGGCTCCTCCTCTCCGTTTGCTGACAGGACAGCTTCTTACCCAGCTTCCCAGCAAGCACGGAAAATGCCCTTTTAATGAACTGAATTTACTTTTAAAATACAAAGTTCTTGACTTTGGGTGATTAGCACATTGCAGTAAACAGACCTTGTATCATAGAAATGTACACTTGAAACCTACATGATCCTATTAACCAATGTCACCCCAGTACATTTGTTTTTTTAAAAAGCTGCCCCGCTCAGCCAGGTGTGGCTCAGCAGTTGAGTGTTGATCCAGGAACCAAGCGATCACGGGTTCGGTTCCCAGTCAAGGCATATGGCCAGATTGTAGGCTCGATCATCAATGATTCTCTCTCATCATTGATGTTTTTTTCTCTCTCCCTCTCCCTTCCTCTCTGAAATCAATAAAAACTTTTTTTTAAAGCTGCCCAGAAATCAACCAACCCACCTTGGGTTTACTTTAAAAACTGAACCTTTATTATTTTGAACACCAAAAAAAATTTTTTTAATACAAACTTCATAAAATAATAGCTTTTATTCCAAAGCTATGCTAATTATACTTCAGATGGGATTGTTTTTATACCATTTTGAAAACTAGCTTCCCAATTGAACATGTTATCATTAATGAGATTACAAAAAAGCAGGTTTACCTTCTTAGGAAGAAACTAAAAGCCTATTATTTACTATAAAGTGTTTAAACTTTCATACATATTGCTAATTATAATCAGTATGATTAATTTTAAAGTCAAGGAAATACTACAACCTAAACTACTGGGAGTAGATAGTTTGATATAAATTCTGTAATTCAAACTAGAACTCCTCACTTAGTATAGTACACTTCAAATCTAATGCTTAATTTTTTCTTTTGTTTTTTAATGCTTACATTACTTATGTCAAACCCTGATCTAAAATCTGAAAGTATAATTTCAAGTCACTGTTTTATCTGTTTACTTTGTCTATTTATTCTCCTCCTACCTCTAAACCATTACAAGTGCACTGAGAATGGCAAAAAGTATGAAAGGACATTCAACTACTACTATTCTAATCTATTTACTTCAGAAAATGGGCTAAATATCACAGCCTTATTCTACATTCTGGAAAACTGAACCACGATGAATATATGCAAACTCCTTCCTCTTCCCTCACTGCATGCAACAGGTGATTCATGAATATTTGCTGCCATAAAACACAGAATGTTGAGCCCACGAACCATAGGACAATTTTTATCCAAAACATCGCTCCGAGTTAAATGAGTTAACCTGGGAGGCCCATTGTATCTGAGGAGCATTAGGCCAAGGAGAAATCTCAAGTCGCCCTATTCTGGACCCAAAGACCCCAGATGTCCCCCCAGTGTTTTCTGTAACAGGTGCTTCTCACACTCAAACCATGCCCGAGTCCCCTGGGAATCCTGCAGAGTGCCCGCTCTGCTTCGGTAGGTCTGGGATAGGGCTGAGAGTGCGCTAAAAGTTCAACAACAAGCTCCCAGGTGCTGCCGAGGGTCCTGGTCCCCTGGTTCCCGGACGACGTTTTAAGAAGCACTGCTGGAGAGAGCAGCCGGCCTCGGCTGTCCATCAGGCAGCCCTCTCCAAGGCCAGGCCTGCTTGCCTGGGCCAACCCGACCCCTGAAGAGCTACTTCCCCATCTGTTGTCTTCGTGATGCTCTTTACATGTACAGATAACCATACTCCGTGGATCTGAGGACTCAGGGCCCACCCGGGCACTGACATTATAGCCTCTGTAGGTTAAGGGCCAAATCAGACCCAAAGGGGGGCACTTAACAGGGACAGGACCCACACCCTCACGCGGTGTCATGTTTGAACACGAAGAACCGACCATTTATTATTCATGTTTATTGGCTTTACCTTGATGAAGGACTCGTTATTGGTTGCTATGTACACCCGAAAAGATAAGGAGGGATTCTGGTCGATGACTTTGTACAGAATCACAGCCCCGTGGTGGTATAATGTTTCTTCGCTTTGAATGACAGGTCCCACAGGAGAAAGAGAGCTCACATGCCATTTGACGTGGGTCGCAGAATGATCCACAGCACATTCTAACGAGGCCTCGGAATTTTTAACGTGTAAGACTCTGAATGTCATATTGGCATCATGGTCTGTGAAAACATGAAGGTATAGGAGTGGTCCAGGTGTGACAGGGGTTGCACACATACACACATACACACCATCGTTAACATTTCAGCAAACAAGTACTTACGCCCCAAGCAGAGGGAATGCGGAAACTGAATGGAGGTAAGACAGGCTGGGTCACATTTGACATCAAACATGGGTCCCCCAACAGCCCAGGGCTTGACGACCAGGTCTGCGTATTTGCTCCAGGACAAAACGCAATACTTGATGTCAACTTTTCTGTTAACCTCAAAGATCAGACCAGTTTCCGTGCACTCGTACACTCCCTCCGTGTCCACCTTCAGCCTGCGATGGACAGATAAGAACACCTGCTGAGCCTTAATGTTTGGTTAGGAGAGCACTTGTTACAGTTACTTACGTTTTTAATTTCGCTCAAAAGCACTAAGGAAACTGTGCATTGTGAAGAAGCATCATTATCAGAGACAACAATCCAGGTAATTACATAAAATGTGTGATATTAGTTATGCTATTTTGTGTCTCCCCTAATTGGCGTTATGTTTATGCAGAAAATTAAATTACTGATCATACTAAGTCTCCTGTATTCACAATTACTTACAAAAACTGTCCCCTGGAAAGGAGTCTGGGGGTCACTTGTTCATTGTGTTTCTGGAGAAAAATACATATGTAATATATAAATAATATATAATTAAGTGTTTTCTTAAATAAAACAAATCAGAGAGTCATATTTTATAATTAAAGGATACTTACATTTTCAGCATTACAGTGTTGACAGTGAGGTTCAATTTTAACACATTCTAAATAATAGAGACAAAGTTTTACCTTTATGAATGTGATCGGCATTTTCAAATAATAATTTTTAAATAAATATGTGTAATATGCTCAATTATAAAATTCAAAGGTATATTTGCCCCTCAGCAATAATGATATTTAAAATAATGTGTTGGAAAGCTTAAGTTCATACCTGAATTAAAATGATTTGTGGGTGATTCTTTGTCTCCCCATTCTTCAGCTGTAAAAGATGTCACACATGTATTGGCACAAGTCAATCACGGGGTAAATCTCCTACTAAACATACCCCTTCAGCTTCACAACCAACAGGAACTTTAAACACATATTAACTGTCTCTGTGTTGATTCAATGACACATGAAATGTCACCATATTTGAGAATCCCACTGCAGGTCTAATGCAGGGGTGGGAACCTTTCTTTCTGACAAGGGCCCTTTGGATCTTTATATCACTTGTGGGTCATACAAAACTATCAACTTAAAAAGTAGCCTGCTATATTTAGTCAAGAATTTGATTAACTCATCCCTAATGCCTTGGCAGGGCCAGACCAAATGATGTCGTGGGCCTTCTATGGCCCGCGAGCTGGACGTTCCCCGGCCCTGGTAATGCATGAAAATAAGTTTGAATGTGACAAGTTTCAACACACCCCGTTTGGGCACAAAATTCTTTATCTGAGGTTTCTATACAGCAGCCACTGCTCTCCGCACCCCTCAACCTGATCCTCACATCCTCCTGACAGCACGGCATGGAGACGGCAGGGTGAATCAGACAAACTAGAGGGCAGCACGCTGCCTGGCTCTTACCCTGAGCGGAAGCGCCCTCGGTGGAAACCTCTCCCAGTTCCCCATCTGTGGAGACAAGAAGGGCTCAGGGCACAGGTGCTCTCGAACTATCTCCTCCTTCCCTCCCCCTCCCCCAGGCCAGCTTCCCAACCGGAGCACTGTGGCCCCTCCTGAAGGCTGACCAGAGCCAGGAACTAAGCAGGAGTCCTTTTCCCCAGATATGGCTTGGCTGGCACCAGCCCTCTAGGCCATTAGAGCTGGGGAGGGATTAGCTTGGGAGGAAGGGGTTAACATCCGATTTCAGGCATAAACTGGAATCTGAGTTGAGGCAGTTTGTAAGGCTCTCTGACTTAGCACGCAGCCTCCTTCTATGTGGTTCCAGACACAACAGGACCCAGGTGCCCGTCTCTGGGCACTGACTGCCCTCCAATCACCCCACCACCACCACCCCACCCCCTGCCATTTCTCCACCCCAAAGCACAAGCCTGGCTCAGGGCCTTTGCACGTCCTATCTCCTCCCACAAACACTCTTGTTGCTCACTCTCTCACACCCTTGAGGTGTGTGCTCAGGGTCACCTTGTCCTACTGGCCCCCCTGAAACAGGGCCTGCCCGACGCACTCACTCTTCCCACTTCATTTCCCTTCAGCACCACCCATCCCACCCCCACCCCCTCACCCCACCCCCCCAGACCTAGCACCTGCAGTTCAGTGTGTCTGCTTCCTGGCTCTCTCCCCACCAGAAAGAATGTAAGCTTCAGAACTGTTACCGCTAGGGCCTGGTAAGTGTGCAATGCCTATTTCCTGCGTGACCAGAATTCCGTAATACCAAAAATCAAATATAATAAAAGCCTAATATGCTAAGTGTCTGGTTGTCCATTCAACCACTCAAAGCATAATATGCTAATGAAATGCTAAGGCTGCTCAACCGCTCACTGCGATGTACACTGACCACCATGGGGCAGAGAGTCCACCAGTCAACCAGTCGCCATGACATGCACTGACCACCTGGGGGCAGACGCTCTGACCCGTAGGTTAGCTTGGTGCTGGGTTCTAGCCAATTGGGACTGAGACGGGCTGGATACACCCTGGAGCCCTCCCGCGGCCCCTCCCCACCGGCCAACCTCCTGCATCCTTCCCTGACCCCAACCGTGCACCAGTGGGGTCCTTCAGCCTGGCCTGCGCCCTCTCACAATCCAGGCTGAAGGAGCGCCCCCCCACCACCACCACCAGTGCACAAATTTCATGCACTGGGCCTCTAGTGTACTATGAAAGGGAATAGCACTGGATCTTCCTGTTATCTACACTGGCCACTGGTTGCATGAGCTTGGGCTGTCATGTTACTAAATCTCTCCGTGCCTCACTTTCCTCATCTGTTAAATAGGGACTAAAATAATACCACCCCACAAAGTTAGAAAAATTAATTACAGTTAGGGGTTGTGCCTCAAACTCAGCAATTCCTCAATGTGTGTTACCTGTTAACTATTACTTCACTATGGTGATGGGTAGGAATCATTAAAAAATTCAAGAATTCTAAAGTAGACTGGTCAGTATGGCTTAGTGTTTGAGCATCAACCCATGAACCCGGGCACATGCCCAGGTTGCAACTCAATCCCCAGTGAGTGCGTGCAGGAGGCAGCCAATCTATGTTTCCCTCTCATTGATGTTTCTATCTCTCTATCCCTTTCCCTTCCTTTCTCTCTAAAATCAATAAAGACATTTTAAAAAAAAAGAATTCTAAAATAGACAACAACCTTGTCACTTGGGGTCAGATGCCTGGTTTTATATTGTAAATGTCTCAACAGCCTTTGGGAGGGTCACCTTGGGGTGGCACGGGCACTCCTCAACACGGGTGTAAAGCCCTGTGCCATCACCAGTGCCCAGAGGTGCGGCCCTCCCGCAGGACAGAGCTCCATCCGTAGCTACACCAGCTGCCGCATCTCTGGGACTCTCAGAGCAGTCAGCATCCAGGGACCAGGGCTGCAAGAGAGAACCAACTTCGAAAAACAGCACTAAAATGAATGGCAAAAGGAGACTGAGAGTATTCAAATCCTGGACTCAGAATACGATAGATGAAAAGGCTCTGAAATACTGACCCGGTCCTGCACCACACAACCCGCCAATCAGATTTCCTCGGCCAGTCCTTTACAGGATCATTAATTCTAAACTACGGAATGCATACATCACATTGTATTTCACCCACATCCCATGTTTTTCTGTCTCGCTGTTTGCCTTGGGAGTGGAAAAAGGAAAAGAGTTTAGAGAATCCTAACCAGCAGGCAAACCCAGTCTTTGACTAGGTCTTCCCAGCCGAAGTGGAGGAATTGGAGCAATTCTCCCCAGCCTATGAGCCACAGCTTCTCTTCGCTCTATACACAAGGACGATCGCAGAGCCTGGGAGCAGGGATACATCCGATCACAAGGAAGATGGATGGGCCATGGGGCCAGCCAGCCCACACAGGAGCAAGCATCCCAGGGGGGGCCCACCTCCTCCTACATCTGACTTGAGAATGGAGGTGAGTGGGAGGGTGGCTGCCCCCTCCTCCCCCAGTGTGGAGAACAAGAGGCCTTTTCACAAAAAAGGGTAACCCTGGGGGAAGGCAGGGCCCTGTGGATGAACCTGGGGCTCTAGGGACAAGCACCCTCTGCCCACAGAAGACATCAGAGCACCTTCACTGCCAGAGACTTCAGTGTCTAATCCAGCAGGGCCAGGGCCAGCCGCTCCTGCCCGCACATGCCCTGCCCCGCCTGACCGCACTGACCCCAGCCCGCCACCCAACTCTGAGCCTATCGTGAGCTGCGCTGACTCCACGTGCCTTCCACCGGGGTTGCCGGCCGAGGCCCAGACCTCGCTTCTGGACCGTGAAGGTCCTGCCTCTGGACCCTGGGTCCCCATGGCCATGTACCCAGTTAGCAGCCGGAGACCACGAAGATGTGACCCTACGCGCAGCTTTCTACTTTAATTCCTGCCCTAAGCCAATCGGTGGAGGCCGGACTTTTGACTACATCATCCATTCATGTATAAAGAAGACTGGGAGGCGGAGGGCTGGCTCACATTTTTTCCCTTTTGCATATCAGAAGGGACATCTACTCCACCAGCGTAATAGGGAGATAATTACAGGTTTCTATCAACACACAACATGACTGCAAAGAGCTTACAACTGCCTTCGGAGATTCCCATTGGGAAACTGCAGAGAGAATTAGACTCAGTGCAGAAGGACTTCTGAGTGAAGAGACCTCATTTATTTTAAGGACTACAAAGAAGCCCTCCGACTGCCTGGGAGAGTGTGTGTGGTCACGGGCAGATCAGATTCTCAGAACGGGGACAAAATCCCTTCGTACAATAAAATCAGTGAAAACACAAGCTTAGTCACTCACCAAACTGGAGACGCAAACCATACTTTATATTTAGAATCTATGTCCTTAAAAGTGGTTTCAGACTCAAGTTGCTCACAAAGAGCCAGACCGCAAGGGGCGCCGCGCTCTGGGCAGCAGCGTGTTTACCCTGCCATCATCCCTGAGCAGAGACCACCAGGAAGGAAGCCGGCACCGCTGTGGCCACACTGCATATCGGGTTCGGCCTGATTCTTCCCTCCCCGGGGAAACCGTGAGAGCAGAACCCCCGTCGGTGCCCGGGCAGAGAACACGAGCTCCCATGTTCAAAATGCTTAGAAGGTGCTTCAGGTCTAACTCCGTTTTGCACAGAAGAAGATCATGAACAAACCATTTGCCGCTTAAAAGCCCCGAGGGCTAATAACCTTCTCTGTCTTCCTTTCAACAACAAACGTGAAAATTCAGAGGAAGGATGTACTTACTTGTTTTTGGCTCCTCATTATCTACAAAAAAAAAAAAAGCCTAGGTCAGCTTCAGATGGCAGCTAAGAGAAAACCCAGGCTCATGGGAGAATAGGTGAAATGTTTGCCTTTCACCAATAGCAACCATTTCCTGCCTTTCTTCTTCAGCTCATCCTGTTTTGCTACTTCGCTTGCCAACTAGAATTATTTCCCATGTAAGTACTTTTTTGGTACTGTACAAAACGACCACGCTAGAAATTAATATGTCCTAAAGCAGTGGTTCTCAACCTTCTGGCCCTTGAAATACAGTTCCTCATGTGGTGACCCAACCATAAAATTATTTTCGTTGCTACTTCATAACTGTAATGTTGCTACTGTTATGAATCATCATGTAAATATCTGATATGCAGGATGGTCTTAGGTGACCCCTGTGAAAGGGTCGTTCGACCGCCAAAGGGGTCGCGACCCACAGGTTGAGAACCGCTGTCCTAAAGCAATGAGAGGCGCGTGTATGACTTTAAAATAAAAATAAAGGGCCATGTGCTTCGCCCGAATTAAAGAAAGAGATGCACATCCTACTTACCGGAGTCACTTTCAGAACTGCTCTCGGAGCTGCTGTCCTCTCCTAATAAAAACACGTGCCAGAAGCACAAATACAGCAAGTAAGAAGTGGGAAGCACTGTAACTATTCTGTTAAAAAACAGGTCCAAACTCAACTGATTTCTCCTTCTAGTCACTTCCCAAGTCCACCACGAAGGGGGCTGAGGCTTCTTTGGAAATGGATAAAATAAACGTTAGCTGTTTAAACATGAGCGCAGCTCACAGGCTGGCTGCAGTCGCTGCACATGGCTGTCACCCGAGTCCTGCCCGGCCTTGACCTGCCTCCTGCGCCCATCTCGCCCCTGCACTTGCACGTCTAGGAGGTTCCCAGGCGCACGTTCAATGAGGACGGTGCAGAATCCTGGAGTGTGGATGCCATTTCACGGAAGCACAGGACAAATTTAGTCCACGTTGTTGACACTACGGGAGTGGGCCCCAAGAATGCTCCCATCACTTCCTCACCCCCCAGCTCAGCCCCTCCGTCCACTGCGGTCAGGCTCTGTTCCCACAACTAGTTTGGGAACCTTTCCCCATGACCCACAGGCCTGCTCAACCCCAGGCCCATGGCATCCACAGGGAAAGACACCAACCACTTCCTCTTGCTCACATGACCTTCCCGTGGAGCCTGTCCTGGCTCTCGTCCAGCCTCTCTGAGTGCCCTCCACTTGCCTCTGGGCTTCTCTCCACCATCCACCCCTATCTCCTCTCCACCACCCACCCCCAACTACTAAAGCCCCAAGCCCCACTCCCCACTCCCAGCCTCCTTTCCAACCATCTGACCTTCAGTCTCTGAAAGCAGCACTGTCTCTTGAACTAGGACAACTCTTCCCCACATTTGCCCTGTTACCCCAATTTATCACCTCCTCCAGGAAGCCTCCCAGGACTACCCCATCCAAGTGCCCACCACCTGGCTGGACTCCCTCGGGATCCTGTTAAAGTTAAAGTGGCCAGTCTTAAAATGACCTAAATGCCTCATTAGGTAAATTCTCAGTTCCACTAAGTACAGCTCTATCACCAAACTTTAAAGTAACTGATTTCACGAGAACAGGTAATCATAAAAGTTTAAAATTTATTCAACTCTTCCAGGTTGAAAAATGAAAGTCCCCACCTTTCACTCAGATTGCTTGAATTGAATCAGAAAAATGAACTGTAATTTATCTTGCTATGAATTAGTTATTGTATAAAAATTTCACTTGGCCATTTACCAATATTAGTCAGATCCTTTACCTGATTTAGAGTCCTTTGACGTATCTAGGTTGGAACTAGGGCAATCTAAATTTTGAGAAAGAAAGAAATGTGTAAATACAAGCATAAAATAAAACATTATGTTCTTTTTTTTTGTAAAAGTCACTAAGCCAATAATAGTAGAAGCTCCCTCTACTACAAACTAAATTACCTCTTTAGACCCACATCAACCTTGCATGTCAAACTAATGCAAATGATGTCATAGTCTCAGGAGAAAAAAGAGATAGTCCAAGAAACCTTAAGCCTTTTCCAGTAAAGAGAGAACAGGAAGCCAACAAACTTGAGATTTACACTTGGCTGGTTCCGTGGTAAACTCTGAGTTTTGTGCCAAAGTAACTGCATTTGTTTCTCTGATCAGCTCAGCAGCTCCCTAAAAACATTCCTGGCAAGTAAGTAACTTGACGCCAGAGAGAAAGAGACACAGCACCTGGTTTTAGATTTTGTCACTGAAAGGCAGTCGATGGAGTGCCTACACCCAAGAATCGACGTTCTTCCCCAGGAGAAGGACTGTCAACGATTTAGTGAAATGACACAGATGGGTTGAAGCTAAGGCTCTGTAGTTGGCAGGTTAAGTGGAGACCAGCCCAGAGAAGGCCTTCAATGCCACTGGGAAGAACGGGCATCCCTGATGGTTCTACAGGGAATGCCATGGAGGCACAGACGACATAAGAGCTTCAGACTGGCCCTGGCGGTCCCCGAGATGGTGGCTACTGGGGGACACTGATGTTCAGGATGGACCAGACTCCAACAAGCCTCACCCTAGGAGGCCACTGCAGAGATCCGGATAGGAAGTGACGAGAGCGGAGGCCAGGGTCAGGGGGTGCGGGAAAGGAGAAATGGCAGATAATGAGGAGAAGGGGGTTGCAGAAGATCCGGATAGGAAGTGACGAGAGCGGAGGCCAAGGTGAGGGGGTGCGGGAAAGGAGAAATGGCAGATGATGGAGGAGAAGGGGGTTGCAGAAGTGAAGAACTGCCCCTCAGTTATCATACCCGTGCCTGTATTTATGCCACGCTCAATTAGGCTGCCCCAGAGAATGGGACCTAGCAGCCTCTCATGCCCCCTGTACCCCAAAGAGGCATCCACACCGGGCTGGTGAACCGAGGCGGCTTATTAGTAACTATGGGTTAACGAATTCCCTTGGGCTTGGGCTGAGACTACTGTCTCCCTCAATTTTATAAGCATGGACTTAGTGCCTACTGTGCGGTGGGCACTCGGCAAAAATGAGGAGAAAATCCATGCCCCAGAAAACAGCTGAGGGGCTAACGCAGCCATGAGGGCAGGAGTAGCTGTGCACTGGACAAACCACTGCAAGAAATCACAATACTATACGAAATTAGGCCAGTGTTCTATTGGTCCGAGAGAAAAACTGAGACCAATCACGTTAAAAAGCCGAAGTTCATGAATCTGGGTGAACGGACACAAGTCTTGGCAGGGAAATGTGAGGGGAGGGAGGGGGCACCTCAGGTGGGCAGAAATGGGCAAAAGCAAAGCTGGGGTGGGGAGTGGGGGTGGCGTGTATGCGGGTGGGTGGTTCATGTCAGCGCTGGGAAGCAGGAGAGCCGCCAGGTCTGACCACAGTCTTGACAGATGCCTGGCATCCGCATGCACTGCACACTCCAGCCAAACGCTGCACAAACCTTTATCAGATTGTAATCGTGATACTTTTATGAGGCAGGTGATTGCTCTGCACTGAAAAAAAAGAGCCACCAGATGGAAACAGAACTTGCAGAAGTAAGAAGGGGCCCAAGGATGGACTAAGGAGTTTCCAAGTCGGTCGGCGGTTGAGTGACACAGACTAACACCTCAAGCGGCCTCGGGACCCTCTTTCAGAATGGCTCTCAGCCATGCAGCATGGGCCAGAGAACTACAGCCCCGCACACGGTTTACAGACCCGCAAAACACGCAGCACACGTCGAGAGAGGACTCGATCCTCAGCAGTCCCACCAAACCCAGGAGCAGACCTAGTTTAGTTCTTTAATTCGAGAGTTCTGATTTGACCCAGAATAGGGGAGAGAATCGTGTTGCTGTTTCATTAAGTGTATAAAACTGATGATCACACTCAAGTATTACAGATAACACCTAGATTTTATGTATGGAAAATTTACAGAATTCAGTGGTTACTACGTCATCACTGAATTTAAACTTGAATGCCAATTCTTCCCAGTTGCATCCAATACTTACATTATTGAATTTAAACTTAAGTTAAAAAGAACATTAGACCCAGAGTTTGAAAGGAGTGGGGTATTATAATAAGAGCATTTACATACTACCATCAACTTGTGAAAAGTTACAAAGGCCCAAGTTCTTTACATTTCACCCTTTTAAATATCAGTTGAAAAATAATCTTAAAATTCTAAAGAAAAATCATATCCTATCATCCTAACCTAATGATTATCTTAGTACACTTCCATAAGTCAGTGAATGCATGAACGTAACACAGCAATTGCAGCCAGTAAGTAAAATCAATAAAGAAATCATTTTCTAAAACTGCAAATGTTTCATACAGTTTTTCAATAACACTGACTTAGAGGTACCATACCTTTTTCTTCTGAAGAGACACTGCGATCATCACTAAAACAAGAAAAGAGAAATAGTTTTATAGACTGATACTAATTTTATACACAATCATTATGAAAACCTTCAAAATGACCACTGTATTATGTTTCTCCAGAAATGTTGCAGATGAAAGAACTCTCTCCCTGCTCAATCCTCTTCCTGCCCCTCTCAATCTCCATGGCCTGACTCCAAACCGCACAGACACAGGCGGCTTACCCAGCGTGCCCTTGAGCTCCTTGTCCTGGTCCACCCCCGGAGCCAGCATACCTTCCCAGGTTCACAGCACTGCCATGTCCATGCCCAGCCATCGGCCTTCTTGATCAAGTTTCCCGTAACCCAATCCTAACTACCCATCCTGCACTGGCCTCCAGCCCTCACCTGGCTCCTTTGAAAGGCTCTCCAGGGTCCCCTCCTCTCCCAGTCCCCCTGCTCTCCAGGGTCCTCCTCCTCTCCCAGTCCCCCTGCTCTCCAGGGGGGAGAGGGTGAGGACCCTGCACATTGGAACAGTAAAATCCCTAAGGATTTTAAGAACAGGCTTAAGACTTCAAGGGGGTATTATAAAATGAGGGTATTTATTGCATGTGAATTATATTAAAACTAGAGGCCTGGTGCATGAAATTCATGCACTCAGAGGAGGAGGGGGGGGCGGGTCCTTCAGTGTGGCCTGTGCCCTCTAGCAGTCCGGGAGCCCTCAAGGGATGTCAGACAGCAATGAGCCCAGCTTCTGGGTGAGTGGTGCTCCCCCTGAGGGAGCACAATGACCACCATGGGGCAGCTCCTGCATTAAGCGTCTGCCCCCTGATGGTCAGTGCGTGTCAGTGCCATCCTCACCACTGCCTGAACCTCTCTGCCCTTCTCCAGCCACTTCACAAAAGAACTGGGTTTCCACGTTCCCACTCTCCATTCTCTCCCATGTGAGCGAAACCACTCTTACTGGAGCCACCAATGACCACTGCCCGGCAGACCCAGTGGGCTTGGTGACCTCATTCTCTTTAGATGAAGCAGGTAGCAGGCTCCTCCCCATGGCATCCAGACCCCTCACCTGGTCTGCTCCCACTTCCCCTGTTTCAGGCGCCTCTCTTCTCTCATCTCCCGGCTCCATCAGCTCCAGCCTCCTGGGGACTGATGTGACCCAAAATCACATTGTGCACCCTCCTCTTACTGCTCCTCACTGCCTCGGAGCTCACCTTCACGCCAAGGCTTCAGGTCCCAAATCTTCACTTCCTTCTCAGGCCTCTTCTCTGAGTTCCAGGTGCCTGGGACCTGGGGGTCACTAAGCCTCCTCATATCTGCCCCCCTCCCACACACACTGTTTCTGCCTCCGTTCAAGCCCTCTTTCTCCCTCCCTCTCTCATTGGCTCTCACCTGGTTGGTTGATGATAAGTTCCTCCTAATGATCATGTCTGCCTGCAGTCTCTCCCTTGGCTTATCCCTCAGGTGACCAACAGCATGTTATAATCCTGGCTTTGCTTATACCCGCCTGTGGCCCCTCACCACTCCCTAAGTTCGTTGGCATGGCACAAAGGACCTCCACATGCCCCGTCTCCACCCTGCCTGCTCCCTCTGAGTGAAAGATCTTCAGTGTGCCAAGCACACCCTGCATAGCCCACACTCTCTCACACACACCTCTCAGTGAAGCCCCGCAGCGCCACTGCCTGCGGCCTTGCAGGTCATGCACCCCAACTCTGGGTGTTCCATGGACATGTACTATGATGTTGGGGTACCCCCTGAAGTTGTGTGTGCATGCAAGTGACAGCCCTGCCTCTCCCTTGACGCCCAAAGTCCTACTCGTGCTTTAAGAACATCCCTTCCCCAGGTGTGGTCTGAGGACCATCAGCACTCTGTTTGATGCCCACTAAAAATAGTTTTTCTCATCCACTGAATCGAATCTTTGATGAGTAAATGAGAAGGCAGGAAGAAAACAATAATGGTGTTATCTGCACTTACGAGTGTTGAAAATTTTTTTTTCTCATTTAATCAACCCAAAAATCCTATGAAGGCTATTTTACAAATGCAGATACTAAAGCCCAGAGAGGTTACTTAAGTTCCTCAAGGTCACACAGCTGATAAATCAGAAAAGGATGCCCTTGACCCTAGGCCATTATGACTTCAAAGACCATGTACTTGCCAGGTACCATGTCTTCCCTCACTCCCCACCTCACCTCAAAATCCCAACTGCTTCCACAGCTTAGGAAAAGTAAACTGAGGAAGAAATGAAAA